TCAGTTATGTGCGATGCGTGACAGACGCTTAGGCGATCATCTATTTTTCGGCGAGGCAGATTTTTTCCCGCAGTAGGTTGCCATTTCTTTCTGCGGGAGACCAGTTGCTATCCAAGGCTATAGAACCCGGTCTATCCTCATAGATGGGGGAGAAGAAGAGGATCTATACCTTTCGCAAGGGTATTAGCACGGTAAGTGAATGTACTGGAATTCGAACTTGGCTCTCCGATTCCTCAATCCAAACCGCTATCCATTATTCCACCGTGGCTTTTCTTTTTACGGATATAACTCGAATAAAGGGAGACCAAGAACAACAAAAAATATTGGCTGAATTTTTATTAGTTGCTAGTCATGTATATTCTTTTTAATTTTATAATTATGAATAAAAATTGTTTCATTTTTATTAGTTGCTAGTCATGTATATTTTTTTTAATTTTATAATTATGAATAAAAATTGTTTCATTTTTATCAGTTGCTAGTCATGTATATTTTTTTAATTTTATAATTATGAATAAAAATTGTTTCATTTTTATTAGTTGCTAGTCATGTATATTCTTTTTAATTTTATAATTATGAATAAAAATTGTTTCATTTTTATTAGTTGCTAGTCATGTATATTCTTTTTAATTTTATAATTATGAATAAAAATTGTTTCATTTTTATTAGTTGCTAGTCATGTATATTCTTTTTAATTTTATAATTATGAATAAAAATTGTTTCATTTTTATTAGTTGCTAGTCATGTATATTCTTTTTAATTTTATAATTATGAATAAAAATTGTTTCATTTTTATTAGTTGCTAGTCATGTATATTATTTTTTAATTTTATAATTATGAATAAAAAATTGTTTCATTTTTATTAGTTGCTAGTCATGTATATTATTTTTAATTTTATAATTATGAATAAAATTGTTTATTTTTCATCAACACCTGCAACGTTAACTATATATATATATATATATATATATATATATATATATATATATAATTTAGTTTTATTATCAAGGTTTGTTTCATGGATAGATAAACCTAACTTTAACCATAGAACTAAATTATATATATATATATATATATATATATATATAGTTTTGATGGTCAAGTTTCCTTCCGTTTGTTCTTTAATACTGTTGTAGCAGTAGTAGCCGCAGCATAAGTCAGCGTTATTAGTTACCTCCCTTTGGTATTTTTTACTACATGATAAAGTCAGTTTATGAACCAGTAACAAACATTTACCAAACAATTTTGGCATGCTTTTGAATATTTACTGTACAGGTAGGCAGTAGAAAACTTTTCCATTTGAAAGTAGGCAATGACGCAAAAAAGTTTGGGAACTTCTGGCGTAGATTATTTATTTGTTTTTATTTTTTTGCCTAAATAAATATCAACTTCCATTGACAAAACCGACCGATTATATGCTCGGTTTAATAGTTGCAAGGTATTCTTTAAAATCTAACGACTACATTTATTTCATTTTCTTTAAGGCAAATATTAAAAAAACAACAAACATTTTGTGTCGATTAATTTTACTGATCGACTTTTCCAAATTACAGATGACCTTTCTTAACCAAGGGAGAAGTTTCATCGCATGCGAAATATTTTTTTGTTTTACTCCAAAAAATTAAACGTAATTTCCTAAAAAAAATTATAACTTGCTTAAAAATAATTAATTGAAAATGAAATCCTTACTTTTTGTAGTATGAACACCCCAAGACGTATCTGCTCCATCGGGTCGAGTAAGATGTAATCCAGTATTGCTTTTTTTATTGCTGTTATGTAATCTTCGTCTATTTCCTGTTCAAGCAAAATACGTTTTTAGTTTTTAAGGTCAAAATAAGAATTTAATAATATGAAAGCAAGAAATATTGGTTAATTTGCAGAGTAACACCCGCATTAAAAATTTCCAGAATACTTACATTTATGTGTAATTGTAAATACTTCATTCAATCTGGCTTGATAAATATGATAAAATCTACCATTTTAGAGTTATCTACAGTGAAATTTGGGATTCAGTGGTGTCGTTGGCGGCAGCCATTACTCGCCTTGTTTGCTTACATTCGATGCGGAAAAATAAACGCGGAATACTACAGAAAGCTAAGTACGAATCTAAATTTTCTTCTCAAAATTTGTCTCAGTTACTGCGGACGAGAACTATTTACGTAGACACGCTCAGTTTGCGCAATGATATCTACACTGATAGCTATTCTGTAGCGAATGTATGCAAACAACGCCAGTAATGGCTACCCGCGACACGAATGAATCCGATTTTTTACTATTGCTAACTCCAAACCGGTAGATTTTACCAAATGGAATATGTACAATTACACATCGAATGAAGTATGTGTAATTACACATAACTGTAAGTATTCTCGAAATTATTAATGCGAAATGAGCACGGGTATTACACTGCAAATTAACCGAAATATTCAGTTCATGCAAATATTTCCAGCGTTTGTAATTATTACTAAAAATAAAATTACGTCGGAATTATTTAAATGCGAACGTTTCCTTTTACCTTGGCTGACTGAGAGCCAAGGTTAGAAAGCCCAGTCTCGCCTGAAAGAAGAAGAAATGAATACATCTCTTTCAAATGGCGAAATGAACACAACAGGATAAATCATAACTTGAACTCAGTCCGATATTCATTACGCTAGCCACACAATTGTCAAATTTGTTCAAGTTTCTCATTTTACCATATAAACATAGGGTTTCTAAAGCTATTTTCTTGGGGAGAAAGAAGTTTCCTGTATACATCACATACAGCCTTTGCTGACAGTAAATGTTTTTCTTTTCATGCTATCTCTAAAATAACTGTATCTGGTGAAGAACTGTTTTAAATAATTAAATGAACGCTAAGAGGCTTATAATTTTTTAAAAATAAACGACTAACAAATACGTTTACTTATAAAAGTGAGATAGATCCTCACTGAATATTCCATGCATGTGGCCTTGTGTCAAAGCGAGGCTAAACTTAATACATCGGTTCACACTCCTCCCCGTTCTTTTGAACAGGAGTAGGGGTTTCTTCTTTGTTTCCGGTTTAGGATTGGGTTTCCGATTCCTTCAGCTCTACGTTCCTACTTCAATTCTATACTTTTAACGTCTACGTCTGAACTCTGAAATTTCATTCACTAATTAATTTTTCTTCTACTCAGTAAGAGTAGATAGGTTCGCCTATCGCCCGGTTCACACTCCTCTCCGCTCTTTTGAACAGGAGTAGAGGTTTATCCTTCATCTTCTGTTTAAAATTTGGATTTCCACGTTCTTCTAAAATCTTGTCATTCTCCTTCCCTCCCAGTAGCCCTTTCTGGTTTAGTGGCGTTGTCACCTTGCTTGGGGCGAATTGATTGAAAAAAGAAGGAAAATTAATGTAAAAAGTTATTGCCAACCTTTCACAGAGTACTTTTTCCGATGAATTGCAAACAGATACTTCAGAAAACAATCTCCTAAAATCGGATAGTTTAGACCCTTTTTAAAGATATTCTAAAGATATTAATATAGTACCCATCAAAACTGACGGGATTATTTATGTTTTGAGACTTCTTCTTATGATCAGAATATTTGTGCACTTTGGCTCTGATCAAAGTGTCATTCCATAACTTTCTGTCTAAGTTCAGTGTAGTATCCGTGCACAAAATATATCGGCATACATTGTACTCTTAGGATATTTGTATAGTTTATCCATATATTTTTATGGGTAATACGCTAGTTTATATATATTTACAGTAGGTTTTTTTTTTTTTTTTTTTTTTTTAATATAAATAAATGATAAACCAATACTCTCTTTGAATAAAATTCTTTGGTTTGTACAGGATTTTACCCAGTTCTTATTGAAAATGTTTTATAAAACTAATTTGAATTAGATTTACTTTATGGTTAATCTAGGATTTTTATCTATTCTATTAAATCTATTGTTACTTGCTATTTTACATAACTGAAGTATTCTGTTTGTTAACTAATATTCCTTTAATTAATATTCCATTGATTAACTGTGTTTTATATAACAGAACTAGTTCCTCCATGTCGTAAAAACTTACACTAAGTCCTTACTATTATTAGGTTTTCACGGGTAGTTCCTATAAATATATTAGTTTATCCATGCCATAAAAAATGACTACATATTTTAATTTCTTACTATTATTAAAAAGTTTTCATAGGCGAGTCTTTAAGTATATAAATGTACAAGTTTGATAAAAAAAAAATTACAGAAATGATATCCTTAAAATTATTATAAATACATCTCTATACTAGTTTATCCATGTCATAAAACGATAACAAAATATTCCACCAAGTCCTTACTATTATTATAAAGGTTTTCACGTGTTAGTTATAAATATATAAATAAATCCCCCGTAGAAGAGAAATAATTCTAGACCAATTAAAATTTGAAGACATTGCAGACAAAGAACCACTTGATGCATAATACAGTAAGATATAAAATTATATTTTTATTACAGCTGGAACTGAGTGCCTTCCATGTGACAACTGTTTATTTTATTTTTATGTAAGCTGCAAAATTATTTAATATTTGTAACTAAAAATAAGCAAAAGACAAGACTTTGAAAAAACCAAGAATTAGGAAGCAAGTAAAAAAAATCGCATAGATGGAAATTAAAATTACAAACCTTCAAAAGTTCATTGGTAACAACAGGGAAAGCTATGAGCAAACGCTTCTCGAGAAAAAGCCGAAACCCATGCGGCATCGTTTCGCTAAGAGGAGCAATAAAGCCTGGATCAATGGCGTGTTGCACCAAATGGTTGTACCTGATAAATACAGATTATTATTATTATTATTGTTATTATTATTGTTATTATTGTTGTTGTTGTTGTTGTTGTAGGAGGAGGAGGAGGAGGCTTTGTTGTTGTTGTTGTTGAGTTACTGAATGATACAGAGCAGCTTGTCAACAAAATGGCGCTGGAGTACATAAATAAGAAACTCATTAAACGCCACCTTGATGCTATGTGTTTTTTTTTGGTGGGGGGTCCTCAGTAACTGAGGTGGCTTACGGCCACATCACGTTGAAACACCGATTCTCTTACGATCACCGAAGTTAAGCAACGTCGAGCCTGGTCAGTACCTAGATAGGTGATCGTTTGAGAATACAAGGTCCTTTGTATTCCTTTGTATGTGCTGGTTTTGATGTAATGGCTAACGTCTCCGAATTGGAAATCTGAGAGCCGAATCCCAATTCTAGTCAGGTGTGTTATATTTACTTTCGCGCAAATATCTTTGGTAAAGATGTGAATCCACCTCTTCTCCCCAAAGCTATGGATTAATTAGTAGGATTTGTATCAGTAAATCAATATTATTTCCAAAATTTCTTACAATCTAGAAAAAAAATTCTAGCTTGAAATAACCTGCAATGAGCTGATAAACCGTAAAAAACTCAAATCAACCAAACCGGGAAATGAGCAAGAATACATGTAAACGGAAACGTCTACACATATACGTGCACACAGATTATTATTGTCATTGTTGTTAAAGCACATTCACTCGTTAAGATTTTTTCTAAAGACATATCGGCTCAGTTTCGTATTCGAAATGTAAATAGAACCGTGATTGATTGCGATACTCTCCGTAGCTGAGCGGTCAAAGCAGGTCGTATCGTTTCTGCCTTCAAAGAGAGGTACAGGTTCGAATCCTACCGAAGGGCACAATCCTCTTAAAAAAAAAAAAAAAAAAACAGAACGTCTACTCAAGTACGGGTATCCTCTAAAAATAACGTTCGAAGTAGTAAAGATATGTCGGATTAAAAAATAAATTCGGATAATTCTTTAGAAATTCCCTTAATGAGTGGATGTGCTTTAAGGCAAATGGAACCTTAATTGCAAATACTCTCCGTAACCAAATGGTCAAAGCACACTAGATCAGACGGCAGTTCCTTAAGCAAAGGATGACACGGGTTCGAAACCTGCCAGAGGGCACATTTTCTTTATTAAGTCTACTTGAGTGAATAGGCCGGTTGACGAAATAAACACAGTTTTAAAAAAAAATCGAAACGTCTACGGTTAGCCGCTAAAATTAACGTCTGAAGTAATAATATATAGACGTGTGTGTGTGTGTATGTGTGTGTGCATATATATATATATATATATATATATATATATTGAATAATAATATATATATATATATATATATATATACATGCATGCATATATAGAACTTACTTCAGTATATGTATATATATATATATATATATATATATATATATATATATATATATGTGTGTGTGTGTGTGTGTGTGTGTGTGTGTGTGTGCGCGTGTGTGTGTGTGTGTGTACGTGTATATCGGTGATCCTCTTTATAAAACGCTTGGAAAGATCTATTTCTATCAATTATTTATTAAGACATTTAACCTGATGTCTGAGGATGATAAATTGTTTTGACCAGACATTTGCTAAGAGGTTACGAATAAAAGGAAGTAATTGTAAATAAACGTATTAGTGGTTTATATATAACAGGTATCACCACGACGACTTGGTTGGTTCGACCTTACCCGCAAATGATAAGCACAGGAACCAGAAACTGTCTTTGTCAATAAGAAAAAGCAAAAACATTGGCACTTCAAGATTTAGATGGGTCAACATACACAGACCAGAAGGTCAGATTTAATCATTGTAAATAAGGAAAGAGATATTCCACTGGAATTATATTCTACTGAAAATGCGAGAAATCTTTCTTATAGAAGCACTATTTCAAACAATCAGAATGAGACAACTGAAACATCTAGGGCACAGAATGAGAAAAGAAGGTTTAGAGAATTTAGCACTCACAGAATACTGAAGGTAATAGAAATGAGAGAAACAAGTAATTTGTGAAACTAGGGGGACAAAACAAGAACAAAATGGTAAAGGAAAAATAGTGATTTGAAGAACAAAAGACATGGATTGTGAAAAGATATAATCGCCCACGTCCTGAATGGACATGGTATATAAAATAAAAATAGACCACTTGAGGAAAACTGGAGAATGAGAAGGTTTATTGACATACTAGAAATTTGCGTGAGAGTTGTACAGATAATAAAATAATAAACAATTAAGTCCAGCAGTTCTTGAAAAATTAAAACAGTTTTAAAGCAAAATGTTTGGCTGATTGTTATAGTGGAACACACCTATTCTATATTAATAGACTCTACCACCTATAATTAGTAGGAGTAGTAAGAGTAACGAGGTGTCGCTCAGTGAGTTGGTCTGAGTTCAGTCTGAAGTCGGACGACCAGCTGACCGGTTGAACTCTCTGCCTTCGGGCGGGGAGGAATCCCAAAGAGGCTACGCCGAAGGGCGGAGAATCGTTCCGGGAGGTAAACCGACCCTGAACCCGTTTATACGGGTTTTAAAAGGGCATATTTTTGGCCGAGCCCACAGGCTCGGAGATCCCACGTTAAACTGGCCTTGTGCCACATGATGCCCTCGTGGGGGGGGTGACTGAGTATCGCTCAGTGAGTCGGTCTGAGTTCAGTCTGAAATCGGACGACCAGCTGACCGGTTGAACTCTCTGCCTTCGGGCGGGGAGGAATCCGAAAGAGGCTACGCCGAAGGGCGGATTCTCTTTCGAGGAGGTAAACCGACCCTGAACCCGTTTATACGGGTTTTAAAAGGGCATATTTTTGGCCGAGCCCACGGGCTCGGAGATCCCACGTTAAACCGGCCTTGTGCCACATGATGCCCTCGTGGGGTGACTGAATATCGCTCAGGGAGTTGTTCAGTCAGTCGATGCCGGACGACCGTTAGTCGGATACTAAAGTATCAGCGACCACAACTAGATTACTCTGCGTCACATTACCTATTATATCAAGTTCCTAACGTTTTGTACGTCGAACCTGTTTTAGGATCGACTTAGTACAAATACAAGCCTCCACTGTGAAATCACTCCATAACACTGATTTGGTGATTGGAGAAAGAATTGAGATCTTTTATCTCATAATCCTGCTGGAACTGGCGAGAGCTTTGGAACAGTTGTTGTGGACTGAAATAAATCTGGCTCTCTGGCAACAGCAAATGTATATATCTGCTGTCAGAATAAAAATGATGATTCTAAAAACCTGCAAAAGATTTATCTCTTCGGAACTGAGGAAATCTCCCAAGCAATATTTCTTTCCTTCTTGAGATATGGTTGCTTTGTAGAAAATGACGTCATAAAGTATATACTGAAATAAGAAAACTATAATAATACTAATTATAAATACCTGCCTTTGTTATTTTTCTTTATTTTGTTCATTTGGTATAGAAGAGAAATGAGAGAAGAGCAAAGATGGAACGGATTCAGGATCCAAGTAGAATACATAGCCAAAATAAAAAAAATAAAAAAACGATAGTCGAATAGCTCCAGGGAAAACCAATGAAAAATGATAAAAATAAAAAAAAAAACGGTACTGAAATATCGATAGGAAAAGATTTTGAATTCAAAGATAAAAAAAAGACAAATATATGGCAGATTAAAAAGGGATATGTTACGTTTAGAAAAATAAAGAGCTGAAAACACTTAAAAGAGAAACAGAATCATTAATACTGGTTGCATAGGTTTAATGTGTTAGAGGTGTAATGTGTTAGAACTATATTTAAACAAAGATGAAAAATACTGATAATATTGATAGAGCAAGGAAAAGGATAGAACTGTAACCGACATAGCTTGTTAATGTTCTATGCTGACTCAGCAATACAAAAAATATAATGGCCACGCTCTTTACAATGGACAAATGATCCAAAAATTAAATTGGAACAAAAAGCAATTTCTTTAAAAAGCGGAAAGATACTGAGAGATATCCTATCAAGTTTTTTTCTTTTATGTGCTATGTTCATTCACGACGTGATCGATCATAAAACAGCCTAACTTCCTATCCTTTGTAGCGCAAAGCAATGTTTGCTCCATTAGAATCTATTCCAGTGGCTGTTCCCCCATCAATTTACACAAGCTCGCTAAGAACAGGGTTTCCCTCTGCCTATCTTGTCGTCAATATGTCCTGTAAGCGTGAAATTCTTTAAGCCATCTTTACTTGATTGTCTCAGAAAATTCAACTATCTCTTTCTGATACTAAATACAAGTGTTCTATTTGTCCCCATTTTTCTTTGAGCGTCTCCGTTGATTACATGTTCTGTCCAAGGTATTGTAAGCATTGTGTAGTAGATCCACATCTCTGGTACATCAATTTTTTTTTTTTTTATATGCGAGGAAAATGTCCAGTATTCACTGTCATATAGGAGGATTTTCTTTGTTTCTGACAAAAATTTCCTTTTGTTTAATACTTTGCTTAGCTTTTGAAAGGCATATTAAACGTGATGTCAAAAGAATATAAAAAAGCATTACTGATACAGGAGAATGAAGCAGAAAATCCTAAGACATTGGAATTAGATATTCAGAAACTGAAGAATACAAGAACAATACTCGTCATATGCCAGTGGTGACACAGTTATCCATTTGAACCCAGAGAAAGCGAGGATTTCGAATTGTGATTTGTAAAGGGGGAAGGTCTTCTTTACTTGGAATATTGATGTATCACAGTCTTGTTTCAAAGCTTAGTAAATTAAAAGAATATTTGTACCCATGCACTGGATACTCGGTCAATGAATATCAAATGTTTCCATATAAGGAAACACCTAATATGGCCATTATAATTACCATAATTAAAGAAACACTGGTTGATAGACTTTAGTCCCCTTTCAGAAGATTGGAATAAATCCAGTATATAAAAAATAATAACCTGATTAAATCTTTTACAACTGGAGATCCTGGCCGGGGGAGGCCCTGCGTGGAATGATAATAAGGATGGAAGCGTACATCCAACACTTTCTGGCTTTGTAAATCATGGCTTCTCTGTGGAAATGTCTTATTGGAGTTTATTTCATCAGATTTTGCTGTAAAGAAATTAAAAAAAAAAAAATGAATGGAAATAAGACACCAGTTGAATAAAATAATCTGTTTTTACATTTCCAAAGTAGAAATTGATTTCGTTTTTATCTTCTGATATATCCGGTGTTAATTTCAAGCTTATAAAATGCTAAAATGGTTTCTTATCTTATTATTATTATTATTATTATTATTATTATTATTATTATTATTATTATTTCCTTTAATTTCTGGTGTGTACACATTTCGTTCCGGGACATCATGA